TTTAAAAATCACTAGTAGATTGGGGAAGGCGGTGACTGTGCCAACCTCCCCTTAATGTTACACAGGATGGCTCGTTGTTGGTTATACACAGCCTACCCTTAAAGTTTCACAGGATGACCCATTGGCATATACTAATGTGAATGAAGGTGATTATACCTATTTCTCAGAGTTTCTTCATAGTTAAATGAATACATGTAGGAAAAATTGGGCCAATTGATAAATATAAATTGCACATAAATTGAAGGAAGTAGAATAGAGAGCAGTCCTGATGCAGCACGTTAAGGACGAAAGCTTAAAATGTCGAATAACTAAGTAAAGAACAATGGAAAAGGGAGAGTCCTCTGTGGTCAGAATGTGGTTTATTTATGGCATTTTAAAAAGTTTATTTATTTTATTTTATGTGCATTGGTGTTTTGTTTCCATGTATGTCTGTGTGATGGTGGCAGATCCTCAGGAACTGGAGTTACAGACAGTTGTGAGCTGCCATGTGGGAATTAAATCCCGGTCCTCTGGATGAACAGTTTTATCAGCTGAGTCTTCTGTCGAGCCCTGTTTATGGCATTCTATATTAAAGTAATCCAGGAGATTAATTTTCAGATAATAAAAGACAGAAAATCTAATTTTAACATCACAAAGAAAGAACATTAATTACCCACAGATTTTAAGATTTATTTTCAGATTCTTGCTTTTCTCATTCCGCTAGTATGTGTATCTATACTATACTAGTATCTATCATTATGCCAGTATCATAAGATTTTGAAAACTGGGCTGGGTGGTGGTGGCACACAGCTTTAATCCAGCACTTAGGAGGCAGAGGCAGGTGGATATCTGTGAGTCTGAGGGCAACCTGGTCTACAGAGTGAATTTCCAGAACAGCCAGGGCTACACAAAGAAACCCTGTCCAAAAAAAAAAAAAAAAAAAAAAAAAAAAAAAAAAAAAAAAAAAAAAAAAAAAAAAAAAAAAAAAAAAAAAAAAAAAAAAAAAAAAAAAAAAAAAAAAAAAAAAAAAAAAAAAAAAAAAAAAAAAAAAAAAAAAAAAAAAAAAAAAAAAAAAAAAAAAAAAAAAAAAAAAAAAAAAAAAAAAAAAAA